CTTCAAAATTGTCTGGCACTCGAGTCTTCAGGCTAGTCAGGCATTTAAACTGACTTGAATTCCTTTTCCTGCCTGTCCTTTATGAGGAAAATCTGAATTTATATATGCCTATTTCATTGTATTTAAAGCCACATTAGTTTCAAAGATAGTTTCAGCGAGAATGAAATTAAACTAAAATTTGATGTAATAGAAGTCTTTTTGCATTGTGGACACCATGTTTTGCTGATCCTCCTGCATTCCTGTGACAAACGTGACTAAGCCGTGATTACTCATATGGCAGCACCCGCCACCTCTGGAGGGATGCACAGAAGAAGAGGAATCGTCTCAGGTGAGAGCAACAGAAGAAAAATTTGCTTGGCCATGGTGGAAATGGATGGTCTGGCTGGTGCCACTGCCAGCCATGGGGCCAGGAGATGGCCTCTGTAGTGGCGGGTGGCAGATCTTGCCATGCGTAAAGCTGGGAAAGGATGAGAACCCGAACCAGCAGCCACCCCATCTTCTCCAAGGCCACCAGAGCAACTTCGTGCAGGTCTCCTGTGGCCAGAAAGCCAAGGTATTGCCTTTCCTCTGGATCCCACAACACAGGGGCAGCTACGCACCGCCAAAGGTGGGATCACAGTGCTCACCACATCGCTGTATCCGTCCTGTTTCCTCAGAAAGGTAACAAGATATTTGGCTTTAAAGCAGGCAAGGGTGCAGCCTCAGTCCTGCGCCTCCTGAGGTCCCTGGGAGTTTTGCCACTGGTTTTACCGGCCAGGCAGTCGGCATCACTGCGTGGTACTTAAGCAGCCCCTCTGGAATTGCAGCCCTAGACTGCAATTAGTGCTGATTTATTCTGGGTGACTACAGTTCAACACAGACCAGTACAGGTCTGGCTGCCACAATTCATCCTTGAGATTTGCCAGTAAAGGCAGCAATTCTTTTGATCTTCCTAATAGAGAAAATTGGAGAGCGTACAATTAGCTTTTTTTTTTCCCCACTGCCATTTGGATATGACTGCAAGTAGTCTGAGGGGGAGCTCTGCTTGGAGCAGGCTGCTCCTCCGGTCCTGCTGGCCACGTAACATTGAAGGATTTAAACGCTCCTGACTCCGCTCCCAAACAGGTCAAACACATGTAGGGGGAAAGAGCTTGAAATAAGAGTGAGGGCATTGCCTGAGGCAGAAAAGATGGAGTGACAGAGGAACTCCCAGTGTCATTTGACTGTAAAACAGTTTGCTTTACATAGCTCATGCAGCTTGGTCTAGCAGGGATCAAGGCGTGACCCAAATCACTGGTTGTGACCAAGTTCACAGCAGGGTGAGAAAAGAGCCCAAATCTGTCCTTCCAGCTCCTTTGACTAGGAGCTGCTTGTGCACTGGTGCAGCTCAGGGGAGGGCAAGGGCTGAGCTGTACGACACCGGCTCTGGACAAATACAGCAGCAAGTGGTCAGCAGGATATAACGAAGCAAAAAAGAACATTTCTTCAGCTACAGGAAATGAGAGATATCCAGGACACGTATCCTCCTGTACAAAGCATCCGCTGAGATGGCGGTCATTTATTCATGCTCTCCGCATTGTCCTTGTCCTTGGAGGTGTTTTCTGCGCGCCATCCAGCGCTGAGTCAATCTGTGAAGACAAGATGTGATTACGTGCAATAGTTGCTCTAATGACGGTTCTCCTAGGCTGAAAGGAGTGAACGATCACCAGCCCTGTCTGAAGGGGGACAGATGGAAATGGAAGTCACCTCCCCAAGCAGTGAGTTAGGCAGCGAGGCTTCAACAGAAGCGGGATGGGGGCTTCTGCAGCAAACTCCCAGCAAATTAGTCCTGTCCTCCCGCCCTCCAATATGGTCATGATTATTTAAAAGCAGGGGAATACCAACTGTTACATCTGTACAAACACGCCACAGGAAACCAAATTGTAAAGACATCAGCAATCAAGACCAGACTCTTGGTTTGTTTGTTCGGATATCAACATCCACTAAAGACAGCCCCGATCACGGCTGTAATTGGCACGGCAGTAAATGTTCCTGAGGCGATGTGGAAGGTGAATAGGGCAAGGTGGGCAGAGAGCAAACCTGGTCTCTCTGGGATCCCCCACTGTTTCAAGAACAACTTGTGAACTGTTGTGGAGCAGGGCATAACTAAATTAGTCTGGGGAAGAGAAGGGTCACACAAACATGTCCCGGTCAGCATCATTCACTCTGGCATTTTGCTTGACGTTCATTCTGAAGTTCAAGCCAGGAAGCTGCCACAGACACCATTCAGCTACAAGCTCTTCTCTCTCCTCCTGAAAACATCAAGTAACCAGACTATTACCCACAACCAGAAGTGTGCCTGCTGTTCCTCGTGAGTCTTGCAAAGTGTGAGGCATACTTTTCCCACCAACAATGATAAAAGGTTGGTTTGTGTGTTTGTCTGTTTGCTTTAATGATTAAACATTTATCCTATAGGGGATTTCTTCTTTGGAGGTTAAAATAATGAAAGAGACCAGGATTTTTTTAACAATTCACCTAATGTGGCCCAAATGTTCATGTATCATCTCTGTTCTTGAATCTTGGGCACCAGTTAAACATCATACCTACTATAAGATACCTAGTTATAATGCAAGCATTAGCATTTAGCACACATTTACTCAGAAAAAACAAGCCCGTGCAAACTATGAATATCTCAACTTCAAAAAATCCAGGAGAGTCTCTTTTAAAAACCTCCAGGAGGAGACTTCCTTTAATGTTCTGAGTGCCTTCAAGTCATTCACAAATTAACAAGCACAGAGTATTAATAAACTGAGTAGCTTAAGATGTGCATGTGGTCTTACTCTCATGGGGGCGGGGGGGGGGGAAGAACCATGCCTTCCTGCATTAGAAGACCATACCAAAAAGAACCCCCAAAACCATAACGCTGCAGGAAATTCAGCAGCACACTTTCCTCCTGTGGTCTTCCACTGTCATAGGCACCCTAAAAATAAGGGGGAAATTCTGTTTTGTCTTTTGTCGTCTGTACAGAAGAAAATGCATCTCTTCTGCATGCTGCATGTCTCTCTAGTGTATCAAGCGTTAGCACATGCAGGCATGAAATACAGTGATAAGATTAATAACAACAATATACAGTTGTTGCTACAAATGCATTCTTTTGCATCAAGACCTCAAGTAAGTTAATAGCTTCAGTAAATATTTAAGAATATGCTGAAGCCAATGGGACTTAGGTGCTTTCCCTCACTGGGCCCTTAACATGCGAATATGAGCTTCTATTTGATCAGCTCCCAAAATCATGAAAGTAGTGGCTAAACTAATGCAGAACTCACCAGAATTTGCCAGATCCTGCAACACTAGAAACAGGACCACTCCTTGAAACTAGTGACACTTTAAAACAGATAAGAAAAAGTACTTTTTTGCAGCAGCAGCAGGTAATGATTTCTAGAATCTGTCCCTGCCTTGTCTTCTTTCCTGCTCCTCTTGGGATGGAAGCAATGCTGCTTACCCCTTAATCTTTCCCAAACCTCGGCTATCATCATTCCCCAAACTAGGGAAACTTGCAGAGCAGAGGGGAAATCTATGTTACTAGAGAGAAATGTGGAAAGTTGAGTCGTTTTAAGAACCAGAAAAGAAACCAAAACCCAGATATAATATTTCTCTCCTGTTTGGGGCAGGGGGGACACCTAAAAATAACAACAACAACAAACCCTAAAACCAGTTTGGTCTAGTTATGATAATCTAGGCATAACATTTATATGAGAACATAAAACACAGCACACAGCTGTAAGTAAAACAATATGTGTGTTCCTGAATAATGGGAAAATAGCTTGCCAATAAGGATATATTTTGAGCAAATGAAAGATGACCTGGAATTGACTCTTGAGTAACAACTTGATTACTTATAAAAATAGGACGTAGGGAAAAAGAAAAAGGGAGAGGAAGCAGTGGTTGGGAAGAGCTTATGTTATGTGGTATTTGATGTATTTACTTTGAAAAGTTTCCTTTTGATGAATAATAAAAACAATGCCGTAACAGCCACCTTCATGCCAAAAAATAAGATTGGCTAGGGATTTTACAACTAATATGGCTCTACTCACCCAGATTCTCCATGTCAGAAGGCCACGTTTAAGCTTAGATGGCGAAACTGGAGCAAAAGAGGTTGAATAAAGAGCAACTCTGAAGGCAAAGGGAGAGGAGAGCATGTGGCACAGCTCCTTGAGAGAGAGCTTACCGGCTCTCCAGCCTGCAAATTGTTTCCATGCTGGTGTGCAGAGCAACACCCTAGTGTGCCTTGGAAGAGACCCAACACGCTTACCAGCTAATGCATTTCTTTCTTTTAATATCCAAGGTGAGCTCAGTGTTCATAAAAGTACAAGATTGCCAGGCTTGTTGGCTGAAGCAATCCGCCACCACGGGTGAGACGTTTACCCCCTGGGCTCTAGGTCCTCCACGTATAAGGCAGAGCTGCCAGGTATGCGGCAGGGGGAAGAAGGGGGACAACACAACCCCGCGCCAGGTTATTGCTGGGGAAGCTTGTTCTGCATGCTTGCAAAATATTTGGGAGGCGTGTTGTGATGCAGGGCCCTGGAAAAAGCCACGGGTGAATGGTAGTGCATTCACCTGTACCCACCCAAGTGATTAATGCCCAGACTACCCCTACCCTCCTTGAGCCCCCCAGCCCTGACCCCTCAGAGACACCAGCGCTAGGGATGTCTTTGCAACTCCCTGGATTCTCATCTTTCTGTTGATGCTGCATGCAGTGGTATTTTCTGGAACAGCATTTTACACCAGTTTCAAACTTCTCTATAGTCAAAAAAGCCTTTTATGGGTTTCTTTCAACCTGTACTTGCATTCTGATTTCACCCCTGTGAAATAAACACCTGTCTCATCCTTGTCCCTCTTCTCCTTTCTCATATGTGTAATGGACTTTTTCCCTTTGCTGGTTCTCTCCACTTCTGTATCTTTGCCCATCTCTCTCTCTCCTTCTGAGACATTTCTTTATTTTTAAATATCAGCCTCGAAGTCTTTCTCTCTAATCGCTGAAGAACGCGGTATTGAGGTCAATTGCAATGCATTTCTGCCTAGCTCAAGAGCTGAGGGGCTTCCTTGAAAAATACCCCAGACGATTGCTTTCATAGCGATGAGGGAGCAAAGTTCAGGCCTTGTCCTGATTTCCAGTTAATCTGAGCTTACATGAAAGCTCCCCATGATACACAAAGAAATATTTACTATATGATTTTAAGCAACGTTTCCTGCTTTGCAAAAACAAAGTTAGTGTTTGAGCTGGGTTTTCTGTCCAGTGTGTTTCTGATATACGGTGCTTGTGATGGCATCCTGACAGGTTTCTTCTTCACTTTCTCAGCTGGACCTGTTCACAGGAAATAGGAGGACCAAGATTTATATACTTAAAGCAGCATTTTGTGGCTTACATGACTAACTCAACAAAGGTCAAGCAGTGAGAAGCAAAGAATGGAGGAGCAAGTACAGAGGCAACACAGAGAAGTGAACCCGATTAATTTTTCCCTTGGAAATACTAGAGAAAGGATAGCTTTCCTTGGAGAACATGCATTTGTAACGGAGATGTTGCCAAAATTACTGGGGTGACTAAAATGTGGAGTGCAACTACTTCATCTTTTATACAGCTCTGTGTCCACAAAGGGTAAAGCCTGCAGAAAGCAATAAGCCAGCAGAACGTCACAGTTATTAATCTGGGGTATTTTATCTCTTTTCTCTGGGTATATCTATTAGCTGTGCATGTGACTCTTTAAACAAAACCTTTTCCTATGTCCTTTTCTTCTTACATCCCCCTCCTTTGTTCTTTTATTGGTTTAAGCTGTAACTTACCGGGTCAAGAAAATCATTCCCATTTTTATTACAAGTCTCTATAAATAATAAGTCATACATATGTTAGGAGTAAGAACTAGAAGTAATTATTTGCTGAGGTCTGTCTTTCCTAGCAAAGAAAGAGCAGCCATCATTTGTGTGGATTTTTTTAATAAAGTGGGTATCGCCATGTGCACTGGGCAGAGAAAGGCCTCTTCAGAAAGAATACAAATGGGAAGGAATCTGTTGGCGCCTTGGCTTCAGTGAAGCCATGTTTCAGAGGGCTTTTCACCAGTCATTAGCGGGGTGGGGGGAGAGGGGCTCCAAGTCACATTCATTCTCAAATCACTGATGATCCCTTACCACTCGCCTTGACGTTAGGCTTTTTTATTCTGTTTTAATAGGGGGATATGGGATTTCTTTATAATTCATTCCATAATTCTACCTGCACTCCCCTTGTAAGGTGGTAGTTGATGAGAAAAATGCCTCCTCACTGCAGCCTTAAAAGAGCAATCCACCTCAGATTAAAACCTGGATTTTCTTTCCCTGTCCCTGCGTACACCAGTACATCTCGTCGGGGAGACCTGGGTACCAACAAGCGCTCAGATGACGACTGCCCCCGGGGGAAGCGTGCATCCGTCAGTGCAGGCTCTCCCCAGTGCAGCCTGCTCTCCTCACTGGTATCCCTTTCGCTTCTTTCCCAACAAGGTGGAAAAGGAACCACCTGGTTTTATGCACTACGTCAGTCTTCAAGGTCTCAACCAGCACTCTTCCTTTCCTGAGTCAGCACCTATTTAAACCAGGTACTTTAATGAGGTTTGCCATTTATGCTGTGAGCCTTCCTCTTCATTCTGCCTATTGGCCACCCCGGGGGGATGAGGACTAATAGTAACTGCAAAGTTATGTCAGAGTAGATCTTTATCTTTCCAAGAGTGAGTTTCTTCGCTCTCCTATCCACTGCTATGAATCGCATTTCCTACGCTTCCAAGGACTGCGCAGGTAAGCGAGTTTCTGTGCAGAAACACCCAACATGTGGTTTCAGCATTGCTCCGTTGCCTTTTTATTTTTGATTTTTTGTTAAATTTTACACCATTTTACAACACATACATTGTTGCTACATTGTGACAAGCTTTTGACTAGTAAGGAAGAAGCTTTTACAATTGGCGTTTCTGAAAAGGCTCCAATTTATTTCTCATAAAGATCCTTGGGATAAAAAGCAGATTAACGTTCAGAAGCAAGTTAAATGAAAAATTGAGGCTGCTCAGAGGGAGATGTTAAAGGCTGACTGGCACAAAAGGGTACTTTCTGGCAAACTTCTCGAAGCACTAAAAGAAAAGGGTCAAGAGTCATCAGCTTAAGTAATGATCTCCAAGGCAAAAATATTGGCTGGCCAATACCATAACTACAATGGACTATTATATGTATGTTCTATAGGCTGAATGCATCAATTATACTCATCATGGGGCTTCTTGAACATGCTTAAATTGCTATTTCCTTTTATTCAATGTGATAGCATATAAATTAATGCAAAGGCATACATGAGAGTATTTTATACCTTCTCTCCTCTGTTTTAAATGTTGGGGATCAGTGGTTTCACTATGAATAATTTAGAGGGAAAAACTTTCAGAACTGAGGGGGGTGGTAGGGCACGTCTGTGTCTGCGAGAGAAGTTCTGTCCACTAACCACACTTATGTAGGATGGGAAACAGCTTTGCCAATCAATAGAGCATCATAATTCCTCTCCTAACAGGAAATGAGGACTCAGTGCAATACTGCAGTTTTAATTTTAATGCAATTTAAAAGAAAAAAACACCCAGCACCAGATGCTCATCAGAAGACCATTAAATGTTATTACTATATGCTATTTCCCTTAGGAACTCTCATGGTTAAAAATCAACAACAAGAAGCAGCCTATACCCTTTTATAGTGAACCTCTTCAGCTGCAGTTCAGTTAAAAGGTCTGACAGGTCACAAGACTCATCACAAGTTTGATTATTTCTCAATAGGCAAGCTGAGATGAGGATAATTGCTATGTTTTTAGAGACCTTCTCACCACAGAGCCCCTCACGCTCTCCTTCCTTCAGCCTGGTGAAATGTGGCTCAAACACAGCTCGTGTCCTCTCTGCTTTTTTCACCGTCCTTTCCTAGATACATGTACTGTTTCATTTCTCACAAAGGACTGAGCACTGGCCCGTTCACATGCACGTGGCTCCCTGCAGGAAAGCAACAGCAGGCCACAGCTGGTGGGTGGGTGGACGCACCTCCAAGAAGGGCTCCTGCACCAGCAACCCTCCACTCTCCTCCGTCCCCATTTGACCACAGCAGAAGGAGCTCTCCGTTCCAGCACGCACCACTCAGCTCTCCTGGCACGGAGTCAGCGCTGGAAAACTCGTTGTGGCAGTGCTCTGAGATTTAATATGGCAATATCCTCCTGGAGTTTTATTCACGGGTAGTTTGATATCTTTCTGGGAGAAAGAGTCAAGGACATCATTCAGGCTGCAAAGCTGCTGCAAACTGAAATCAAGGGAAAACTCATTGCTAGTTTCTTGGAGGGTTACATCAATGGTTTCCCAAAAGTGAGGAACTCCAGAAGTGAAGAAAGGTGGTCAGGACACACAACAGTCAGAGCCTCTGAAGGTTCAGGTGACTTTTCCTGCTCTGCTGCAGCCTCTCAGGACCCATTACTCAACAGCAGCAGTCTTAGGGACTAACAATGTTATGTGAAGTAGGGACATTGGTACCTCTCCATGTCACAGGGACATGAGGATGGATACACTAAGGAGGACTGTGTGGCGTTCAAAACATGGTGATCCCAGAAAAGCCTTATATTGACATTAAAATTATTAGGGGGAGGTTTAGCTCCACACACTCTAACAAGGGCAACACCCCAAGTCTGAATTTGAAGAGACCCTTAATTCACAAATACAGATCTTCTCAGGCCTCTATAAGGTTTGGGGGACTTAAGCGGCAGTCATCCTTCACCTGTTCACATTTCTTTTCCTCAGCCTTCAAATAAATGTACTGACCCAAGAACCAGCAGTAACTTTCCTCCCATAATCCCTGGGAAACGGAGGGGTAGTATACCGCAGGAAAAAGGAATGCTGAAACCTCTTCAGACTCAACAAAGAAGGAGCCAGGACTCTTAGCATCCCTCCTAAGCACAAAAGCACAGACAAATGGACAAAGACTCCCTTCTTAGGAACTGGCAACAACACAGTACATCCAACTCACAAGTTATATAGAAAGAAGTGGTTTGCAGTGTTGAAGAAGCATCTGACGCTGCTTTCTGTGAGGAGGCTGGTGTTACTTAAGTAATACTCTCACTGTAACCAATGGGAATCTTGCCCAAGTCAGGAGTAAATGAAATACCCTAGCTAAATATATTATGTTGGCTAGGGCCAGGCAAGGTACCTTGCTAAAATTGGTCTTTTACTCATATATTTGGGTTACAACACTCAAGGTTTTGCTTTTTGAGCGATGTGTATCTGGTTCTGTAAGGATTTGGTACCAGCTTCATTTTCACAGCAGACGGCTTTAAGCAGTCAGCTAAGTAACCCCAATGCTGCAGTGACAGTGCTGAGAATCTTCTAGGAAATGAAGCCGAACAGCTACAGCACCTCATCACTAAGGAGTAATTGAACACTTTGATATGATAATTGATTATCGTGCATTGATTAAAGCTGACAAGAGAGCATACAATCTCCAGATGACTTTCAAATTACAAAGCCACAAACTTCAAAGCTTATTTGGATTCACACAACAAAATACATTTTGTTATTTACAATGTAAAAAAAAAAAATCCTCATAAATGAGGCAAGAATTTTAAAACAGTAAATGGTGAAACAGCACAACTTGAAATAAGGAACTAATCAATGCTATCAAAATGGCTTCAGTCTGTCCTGAGGACTCTAATCATTTCCAGATGATAACATGGGACTGATTGGATGTCTCTGGCAGCAATTCTTATCAAGGCCTGATTATAACAACTACAATAGGAAGAAGAAAAATTGGTTGGTAGAGGGTGGTTAAGAAGGCCTGAAGAAATGTGCAAACAGTTGCTCAGTTTGGTGTAAATCCACCCGATCTGGTGCAAGTAAAGGCAGCAACTGCTGTTGGTCATTTCCAGCCATGCTGAGATGCTTTTCATAAATTCAGCCAAACACACACTGGAGAATAGTTTTATTTCATGGTAAAAGCAAACCAATTTGCAACCACTTGCAATTTCTACAAACTAGCAAATCATCAGCAGAGCATCTCGACTTGCTTCCTGGTTTTAAAAGCCTTTTCAACTCTCCTTAATTGCACATTATTTTAATTGCCATGATTCTACCTCTAGAGCTGTAAGGGAGCAGCACAGTTGTTACTATTTATTGGTATTATTACTCCAGACAGAAATCAGGACCATGTTTTCCTTGTCATCATGAAAAACTTTACAAAGATATGACCCTGTTCAAAGAGCTTTATCTAAATCTGCAAGACCAGAGGCAACAGGTGGCTACAAGAGAGCAACGGCAGCAAAAAGAATTTACAGAGCTCAAAGGAAAG